ATGGTTGTTAATATATCATTAGTGTCTCCCTGATCGTTGTAATATCTGGTGTGATCCTTGATCGCTGTATTTATGGTTGTTAATATATCATTAGTGTCTCCCTGATCGTTGTAATATCTTGTGTGATCCTTGATGATCGCTGTGTTGATGGTTGTTACACTTCAATGATGAAAATTTTTTTAAACTTAATTGTGATCCCTGAGATCGCTGTATTGATGGTTGTTACACTTCAATGGTGAATTTTTTAAACTTTATTGTGATCTTTGAGATCGCTGTATTGATGGTTGTATTTTTAATTTTTTTTTAAACTTAGCACTTGTAGTTCTGAGTGAGTCTATTTCTTTTTAGGAGGTGGGTCCGAACCCACGGCCAAACACGCGTGTCCTTTATAAGGATTTTATTCGCTTGGCCCCACGTTGGGCGCCAGTAAGATTTAACCCCTTAGTTTTGATTAAGATTCTTTGTTTCCCCTGGATTACCAAGGGCAGCCGGTCTCAGCGGATGAGTTGAAATAACTGACTACATAAAAGCGACGCTAGCGTCTAAATACCTACACTCTTGCCCTAATTTCAGTTACTGCACGTTATTAGCCGCGTGACTTCTGCACTTGCAATTGCTGGGCCAATTCCGCTTATTGTCTTGCATTTGTTTTGTTGTTGCCACGCGCAAGACTATAAGTGTCTCGTCGGCAGAATGGCCGTATGAGTTATTAAAGCAGTATTGAACTTTTGCTTGTTGTTACGTGCAAAGCTATAGACGCGCCATCAGCAAATTCGGTGGGAGCGGTGTTTTGGCCGGATGCGTTATTAAAGCGGTATTGAACTTTTGCTTGTTGTTACGTGCAAAGCTATAGACGCGCCGTCAGCAAATTCGGTCGAAGCGGTGTTTTGGCCGGATGAGTGGTTACCTGTGTTAACTTATATGTTATGCTGGAATTTCCCTGTGCACACAAAGCAAGTTAATCTGGTATGGCTAAGTCGGGCTTCCTCATCAATCTAAGCAATTTAGTGTGCATTTTCATTAAGATATATACCAATAGACGTTTTACAAAC